TACAAAAATTTGTTGCTAACGGTCTTCCGCATTTTATTTCATAAGAAATTCCTACTTATATGAAAAAAATTGCAAAAATCCGTCTCCAAAAAAAAATTCTCAAAAATCAACGCAATTTTGTAGCCGGTTGAAACTTGCACTAAAGACTAAAATTGAGAATTTCTAGAAATTCTGAATAAAAAGCTGAAAATTTCGATGAATTTTTTTCTGAATTTTTACGTATTACATATTAAGTGTGAAACTTTGATTTATATTATAGAATGGACTAGTATATTTTTATAAATAAATAATGCAAAAAAATTTTCATGAAAATAATTGTAAATATTATATTAGAACATTTTAATATATTTTTACGGTTTCAAATTACCACAATTGACTGACTCATAACAGCATAAACGCAAAAATATGTAAAAGCAAGTTGTTGCTCTTGTTGTTGAGCTGCCATTAGGGGCAAAGAGAATTTAAGTGAAAAAAGTAAGTCAAGAAAGCAGGCATTAAAAAGAGTAAACAATCAAAGGAAAAAATCCCGAAAAAACTGTAAAACTACGCAGCGAAAAGCATGTCACATTGTACGCACATACAGTGGCGCTCACGTAAATAGCACACATTTATTTTTTACAATATTCACAATTTTTTATGTGATACATTTTTTTCGTAAATTTTTAATAAAAGTTTAAACTTTTTTTTTAGTTTAAAACTTTGTGCAAATATTATAAAAATTTAACAAATTTAAAAAAAAATCATCACAATTTTTTAGGCTTTTCATACAGAACTGGGTATGCAGTTTTGCAGCCTTTTCAATTTTAGAATAATAATACCACCTCTCGACAAAAAAAAAATCTCAAAAATCAACGATATTTTCAGAATTTTCAAACCTGCACATTATTATACTAAAATTGAATATTCTACAAATTGTATACCTAATAAGTTTATAAAAAAAAAATCTGAATAAAAAGTTGCAAATATTGATGAAATTTTTTGGAGACTTGTTAAATTTTCCTGAATTGTATACAAAGTTTTAGACTTTGACTTTTATAGTTTATGTTAAAGAATCTGCTATTTTTTAAATAAAAAAATAACGAAAAAATTGTACCACGTAAAACATTGTGTGCTATTTACGTGAACGCTACTGTATATGTAAGTATGTTAACAAATTGTTAGTGTAATTTACTTCGAAATAATACAATAGTACTAAGGAAGTAATACAAACAAGCCAATATTTGCTATCGCAAATTGGTGATTGACGTATGGCACTAGGCTGAAGAAAATATTACCAAGCGTATGTGAATAGTCTACAGGCTACTTAAGCTTAGCTAATCGATACAAAAAAGGATGTTGTCGATTATATTCGTTCTGTTAAAACAGCTCGAAAACGTGAGTTTTTCGTAATAAAATATGTGGTAACATTTAAAAAAAAAAAATCGATTTCGTGTGCTTGCTGCCGGATAATTTCGGTGGCTAATAAAAGCAAGGGCGCCAATAATACATATCTACGTAGGTACAAGACATTTCTTCACAAGAAATCTCTGAGGAAGTCATTCATAGCTGACGCAACCTGCGCAAAGGAGAACGGCAACTGGAAATATTTTTGTGCGACGCAAAATGGCAAAGCTTTGTAGAGCGTAATAAGGCAGGTTGTTAGTGGAATTCGCAAAAATCGCTAACTAAACTGCCGTCGCTTAATCGATGTTCAAAGTCTTTGACTCATTAACAGCCACCATACAATGCTGAGCAAGCACTCAATTCGAAAGATCAAAGTTAAGTGATACTTACGCGCCGCACCGCACAGCAGAACAAAGTGCCTTTACACGCCAACTCCTAACCGGCTGTTACTAAGCATTTTTCTAGACTACAAACCCAAATAATTAAATTGAATATTTTGCGTACTCAAATGTAAATTAAATTCAATTGCCAAGGTTAATTGGCTGAAAAAATGCCAGTTAGTTGCTGCGAGTATGTTGGATAAAGTGAGAAATGTGATGCGATGCGGCAAAGTTAAATGAGAAATTTTGGAATATAAAGTGATATAAGAGAATTTCACAATTTTTCGAAATTTGTACATATAGTCAAAGAACTGGTTTAAAACATTTTAACTGTTGAACAGGTTCTCTACTTCTTGCCGTCAATTGAGATGCACTGCTAAAAAATTAAAAAAAAAAATTATTCGACTTTGTTGGCTACAAACGTCTTTCAAAAAAACGTTAACTGCGCCTTCGGCAATGCCAGCTCGCACAATATAGCGATCCAGATTTAGCCAAATTTTAGCAAATATAGCACACAAAAAATCGCCCAGAAAAATATGCTAACTTTAGCTGATGCAAGTTTAGATTTGCGCACAGTAAGCTCGTTTGGCATCAAAACACGTACACAATTCTTAGAAAAGTCAAGATAATTTAGTGTAGCCCTCTCGATTTTATTGATTTACAGTGAGCGTTAATAATTAAGTGAACATAATTAACCAGAAATTGTGACTCATTGAAAAACTTTGTGACTTCAAAGTAACAACAGATAATACAAAGCGTTTTATTTTTGATAGGAATTATAAAAAACTGAAAGGCAAAAGTATAAGGAAGCCGTCAGAGAATAAGCAAAAAAAAAACAAAAGTTATTGAGTAAACAACGCGAATGGGGAAATAAACTAAATATAATGAACAGAAAACTTATTTTAAATCCGAACAAAACAGAATTGGCAAAAATAAATAAATTAATTTTTTGTAGCGGCACATACATACATACAACATCATGCGTACGCTCGCCATTCCATCGCTAATAACAATTTACTTTGTGCTTGAGCACTTGCAACAGATTTCAAATATTGCATCATGCTAAAAAGAGCCAATGATACTGGACGCGACGCGACGAGCGGCTACCAACACACAAAAAGTCTCAATGCAATTAACCCTTTTCAATCGGCGAATGCGAAATGAATGTTAAATCACGTACAAAAATTTTATACATAATTGTTAATAATTTAAAACGCAGCCGGAATAGGCGCGCAATGGTGCGAGAAACACGCAGCAAACAAATTAATTGAAGCTCAATCAGCGTTGAACAAAAAAAAATGGGATAACTTGGCAAGCAAGCAAGCAATCAACGCGTGAAGGGTACCAAAAAAAAAATTATGAATGAATTTCGTGTGCGCTTGGCAGGCAAGAAGACGTGCAGCAGTAAGCATAGCAGGTTACAGAGGCAAAAACAAAAATCGGCTTTAAATGCAAATAATTGCAATATAAATGCAAAATTATTTCGCATTAAGGCGATTGTGTGTGTGTGTGTGTTTGTGCGCGCTGCCGACCAACCAACAAAGCAAAACGAAACGCAGTAACCCAATTTCACGCTGACGCAAGCCTATTGCACTAAACAGCGGCGCCAGTGAAGGGAAAATGTAGTAAAATTCAAAAAACAAAAACAACAATCGCTGCATTGATTTACAGTAAGTATGTATGTAATTATACTATATTATACATATTTTCTCAAGTGTTTTCTGGGTGTATTTTTTTTTTTTGTGTGAATGCCTTTCCTTTGTGGTTTAATTAACCTTTAGCAGCAAGTTGCTGACGTTGTGCCAAAAAAAAAGATAATACGAGGCGCTATACTTAGCTTTTGTTGAAGCCAAATGCCACCGCTGACAGCGAAGGGGTACAGCACAAAAATAAAATAAAATAGAAAAGCGGCTCCAGCGAGCGTCACTAAGGTCAACGCGAAAGCTGAACTCTGGTGTTGAGTGCTAACGACAGTAGCGTTGCAAACAAAGCGCTTTGAAGCGCCGACTAACATGTGAATTTCAGAATTTCATATGCAGGGGTAGCGAATATTTAAATGTGACAACAAAATATGTACATACGTATGTACAATTAGGGTGGTCGCAAAATACATTGGAAAATCAACTTTTTGGAACTTTCTTGCTGTCACCTTCCAGAATTACAGGAAATGGAAATTAAGGGGATAAACGTATTTTCTATTTGGAAACTGGTTAATATTTAAACCGTGCGGCCAAGCGATTAGAAACAGTGCTCACATGTTTATATTTTCAAGCTTATTCCTAATAATAGTAAAAAAAATAAGCTAATACTAAAAAATTAGCTAATAGTAAAAAATAAGCTAATAGTAAAAAATAAGCTAATAGTA